AAAAAAAAAAGAAGAAACTCCATATACACATATTTCTGCATAAATATAATAAAAGACATAAAAGGATCCACAGAAGGATATGAAATATTGATTATTTAAGAGAATAAATAAGGAAAAGATAAACTATTAACCTTTTATTTCTTCATCTATTAGGTACTATTGAACTTTTTTAAAGTATGTGTATTACTTTATAATTCTTTAAAAATGTATTATGGAAGTTTTTTTGAAATCCAGTTCAGCTGAATTTTATACAAATGAGAGAAGAAAAAGTAGTTCCCCATTCTCAAACTGGATAATGGGGGGGCAGGAGGGGAAGAAAAGTAAAAGGCCAAGAATAAAATTTAGTGAAGAGGAAAATAATTTCTCCTCTCAGATCTCCTGAGATAATGCTAAGATCTATAGTGCCTTACTGCACATACCTACCCAATTCATGTCCTATGTAATATCTGATTTCTCATAAGCCCATTCAGATCTTTGGAAAACTTGGTTCAAAATATTGAAAATCACAAGAAACACTCACCTTTGTATCTACTGTATAGTTGTTCTAACTTCTTCCTGTCCAATGATCCTTTTACACTCTCTCGTATATAAAGTTCAGGATTTTGGAAAAAATTATCTGTTGCAACATCTAACTTCCAGTCATTTTGAGACAGACAACTTACTGCTGTTTTTTCACTAGATTGTGTGAAGATCATAAACTGACGAACTTTATCCTTCTGCGATGATTTCAACTTGTTCTATTAAAACCAGAAAATAAACTGAAACTCTATGTAAAAATCACATATTAAGTAAATATTTCTACATGGCTGACTAAATGTTCTTAATACTTTTTCCTCATAGAACATAAAAACATTTTCACTTAAGGCTTATTTTTGATCTATTAACCAAAAAAACAAACTTTCTAAAAATCTGAAACTCAAAATTTGGTATAGTTTTGGAAAAGAGATTAGAACAGATGCAAAGGTAGCTCAACCACCCTACATTTCCCCTAAAGTGGGTCCTAAGAGCAGGCGTAACCACTTTAGAAGGGGAGGGAGGCTACTCTCAAAACCTGACCAAGCACAAAGCTCCAAAAGGCTGCGTAAGGAGTGGTGGGGAAGGTAATGTCATCTAGCCAGTCAGTCCAACTCTGGGGAACACTGAGATTAGCAGGTGTTTGTTGCAGTCCTAACACCCACTATAAAGGATACGGGGTGCCACTCTCCCCGGTATCACCTACCTTGTTTTCTTGCTATTTTTACTAAATGGGAGAAAGCAGTACAATCTACAGGTTCTACACTTCTCCTGGTAGTGTTCAGTCAGGAAACAATAGATAATAATAAATAATCAATAGATTATTTATATTATAAATATCAATAGATTATTTATATTATTTAATAATCAATAATAAATAATAATCAATAGAATTTCCTCATATTTTCGCTCATATTGGAAGAAGCATCCTTCTACCATGGTAATTTTTAGTAAGCTTCTTCCCAAATGATCTTTTCCTTAGCCCAAGACTAGTAGAAGTAAGGGTCTCTCTGAATAGCCTTCTACTGGAATAACTTCTTCTCATTTACCCCATGTTGCCAAGGATTCATTTCTCATCTGAGCAGAACCCAAAGCAAAATGAGGCAGGGCAATTATGCCCTCCACTTTCTACCAGTATCAAGGACCACGTTCTCTCCCATTTCCTACCCAAGCTGGTCTCCCATGCAAATTCAGGCTCCCAGAGTCCCCTTTCCACCTCCCAAGCCCAATACTACCTCTCAACAAAATGCCTTCCCAAGCTCTTACTATAAGTGAAAGGGAAAGTATTTGAGCAGGGGACACACTAACCGATACAGTACTCTGTGGTTTAAACACATCCATCTGAGAACCTAGACTCTGTGATTTGGCCCAAACTGATCCTAAAACCCAACTTCCTTGGCGGTGCCTGTAGCTCAAGTGGTTAGGGCACTGGCCACATACACCGGAGCTGGCACATTCGAATCCAACCCGAGCCTACCAAACAACGACAACTACAACCAAAAAACAGCCGGGTGTTGAGGCGGGTGCCTTTAGTCCCAGCTACTAGGGAGGCTGAGGCAAGAGAATCGCTTAAGCCCAAGAGTTAGAGGTTGCTGTGAGTTGTGATGCCACAGCACTCAACTTCCTGATTGGATAGATGAGAGAAGAGACCTAGAAGGTCAAGCCAAAGATCACTCAGGTTCTTAGCAATGAAACAAGAACAAGGAGGTCTCATGAACCTGTGTCTTAGTAATCTTTTCAAAAATCATGCTATTTGTACATATTTACGAAGTTTTTGAGATTTTCAAGGAAGACTACCACAGCTCAGTGCCCATAGCTCAGTGCTTACAGCACTGGCCACATACAGTAGGGCTGGTGGGTCAAACCTGGCCCCAGACTACTAAACAATGATGACTACAACAACAACAACAACAAAAAGCCGGGCGTTGTGGCAGGCACCTGTAGTCCCAGCTACTTGGGAGGCTGAGGCAAGAGAATCACTTAAGCCTAAGAGTTTGAGGTTACTGTGAGCTGTGACACCATGACACCATCACCCTCTACCAAGGGCAACATAGTGAGACTCTGTCTCAAAAAAAAAAAAAGTCAGCCAAAGATATGTATTACTATGTATCACAGACTAAAATAAAACTATGTAGAATCAAATATGAAAATAACCCTACCTTTTGCAATATGAAAAATATTTATGCTCTGGAGTCTGATCTGTCAGGCATGCTATTCACTCTCTTATAAATATGTTACTATTAAGGATTGATTATGATTTAGAGATTAAAATCTCAACCTCTGGTTAAAATTAAGAAACTGGCCAGGCACTGTGGCTCACACCTATAATCCTAGCACTCTGGGAGGCCGAGACAGGTAAATTGCTTGAGCTTAGGAGTTCGAGACCAGACTGAGCAAAAATGAGACCCAGTTTCTATCAAATAAAGAAAAACTAGCCGTGCATTGTGGTGGCACCTGTAGTCGGAGCTATTCGGGAGGCTGAGGTGAGAAGATTGCTTGAGCCTAAGAGTTTGAGGTTGCTGTGAGCTATGATACCAAGACATTCTATTGAGGGTGACAAAATGAGACGCTGTGTCAAAAATAAAAATAAAATTAGTAAACTATAAATTGGCTAACCTGCTACTTTACTAATAACTCTACCACGTCTGAACCCCAGTTAAGTCACGTCCCACATACAACATGTTTCTCCAGTGTCTAGGAGTCTTCCCTTTGGAGAATTGAGTCCTCCTCAAGATTTATTATTCATGACAACAAAACTCACAATAAAATCAAATACCAAAGAAGATAACTATTCTAATTTAACTTTCTATTTAACTGAAAGTTAACAAGGAAACTTTTTTTTTTTTTTTGAGATAGTATCTCACTTTCTTGTCCCTGATAGAGTGCTGTGGCATCACACCTCACAGCAACCTCAAACTTGGGCTCAAGTGATTCTCTTGCCTCAGCCTCCCACGTAGCTGGGACTACAGGGGACCACCACAAAGAGGCTATTTTTAGAGACGGGGTCTAGTGGCTTGGGCAGTTCTCCAACTCCTGAGCTCAAGAGATCCACCTGCCTTGGCCTCCCAGAATGCTAGGATTACAGGCGTGAGCCACCATGCCTGGCTATAAATTATTTCTTAAGAAAACTGCTTTAAAAAACTAACATTGCTGGCCAGGCATGCTGGCTCATGCCTGTAATCCTAGCACTCTGGGAGGCCAAGGCAGGTGGATTCCTTGAGCTCATGAGTTCAAGACCAGTCTGAGCAAAAAGCAAAAACCCCCATCCCAACTAAAAATAGAAAAACTGAGGCAAGAGGATCATATGAGCTCAAGAGTTGGAGGTTGCAGTAAGCTATGATACCACAGCACTCTACCCAGGGTGATAGCTTGAGACCGTCTCAAAAAAACAAACAAAAAAAAAACCAAAAAATCCTAATACTGGGTGGCGCCTGTGGCTCAGTGGGTAGGGCACCAACTCCATATACCGGGGGTGGTGGGTTTGAACCTGGCCCTGGCCAAACTGCAACAAAAAACAGCCAGGCGTTGTAGTGGGCACCTGTAGTCCCAGCTACTCGGGAGGCTGAGGCAAGAGAATCACCTAAACCCAGGAGTTGGAGATTGCTGTGAGCTGTGACACCATAGCACTCTACTGAGGGTGATAAAGTGAGACTCTGTCTCTACAAAAAAAAAACCCAAAAAACTAATATTGCTGGTTGAACTCTATGGATACTTGTGCCTCGAAAGTAAACCTTTGATTTTCATGTTAAGGCTGTTTTTTGTTTGTTTGTTTTTAATATAGAACACTGCACAAATTTGTGTTGGCATCCTTGTTGGGGCCATGCTAATCATCCCTGCATTGTTTCCAGTTTAGTATATGTGCTGTTAAAGTGAGCACTGAAAATTATTTTAAAACTTAGTACACTCTTCTCCCCTGAGCAATGAGGAACAGGGAAGCACCAAAGGGTCAATGTGATCACCACTGACGACTGCACAACGTTGTAGCAAGTGCTTGTGATTACCCTGCAAGTGTACCAACCACAGGCCACATCCTGGAATGTACTTTCTAAATAAATCTGACACAACTTAGCACAACTCTCCCCACATTCTCTTCAAAGTTGGAGGTGGCAAAACATTCAGGTTTATTTGGGGTTTTACCCTACATTATTAAATCAATTCCACTCTTCCCTACAGTTTGATAACGTTTTTTTAAGGTAGGAAGGGGAAGAAAACACAGGAAAAAGTCACTTCTGCAAGCCAAAAAGATCTACTGGTTCTATTAATGACTTCCTGTCTGAAAGCAAGATGATAGAAAACTGGAGGAACCAAGACAAAAACTGTCTCAGCCATGCAAACTAGTAACAATGTATGCAAATGAATTATTTAATTCCAGACCATATCTTATTTGAAAAAAATAATGTATATGTAAACTATTTTAACTATGGTTTAAGTATAAATTCCCAGCATATAAGGTAGTACCAATCTATCGGAAGAAAAAGGACTGTCGCTACCCACTTCCAACACCATTAAGGCCAGTGAGGGATACCAGGCAAAGAACTGCCAGCATGGAACTCCTGCTCAGCTGAGCAGACACTGGCAACCCCACTCCTGCAATCTGATAAACGCCCTCCAATTCTCAGGCATATACTGCTCGCGTACCATTTCTCTCTCAGCTCTCTGTACTAGCATAAATGTCGACTCTTCCTTCCTAGGGAAGATGGATTCAAATTCTATAGTCTGAAAGGCCATCCCAGAGTAAAGCTGAAGTGGGTCACACATACCCGCCCAGGAGAGCTGGAACACTACCACCCCGTTTCCCAGGCCACATGGGTGCAACAGGCAAAGTCTTCTGATTTTGAGAGTATGGCATCAAAAGTTTAAAATTTTATCAACTTAAGGAAGAGAAAAAGGGTGACTAACCAGAGAGGAATTATTTCATAGAGAATGAGAGGGTGGATAGAAAAATGAGGCGGAAAAAAAAGCAGATGGATTTTTTTCTCTATTTCTACTACAAACCCAGTGGGGATCTTCCCAAGAGAAAAAACATGTGACAGCTACAATGACTCAGCATTTAAATGTCATATATACCATTTACCTTACACTTATTTAAAAGGAACAAACTTGAGTGGTCATTATGTAAGATTAACCAATAGAATAGAATTAACCAATAGTACTAACCAATAGTACTCAAGATGTTAAAACTGTCTAGGCATTATTAGGTTTAAGGAAATCCATAGTGGTTAAACATATAAAATGTATAAAACAGGAGTGTATTGATTATTTTTAGTAAGAGAGGAAGGAAAAATATCTCTTGTAATAGAAAGCTAATTACAATTATATCAAAGATTACCAAATTTAAAAATACTATCATTATCTGAATAATTATTTGCTCATCATTCCAAAATAGAAAATGGAGCCTGAGCCAGGGGAGACCCCACCTTTAAAATTTAGCTGGGCATTGTGGCGGGGCCTATAGTCCCAGCTACTTAGGAGGCTGAGGGAAGAGGATCACTTGAACCCAAGAGGTTTTTTTTTTTTTTGTCTCACTATGTCACCCTTGGTGGAGTGTCATGGTGTCACAGCTCACAGCAACCTCAATGTCAAACTCTTGGGCTTAAGCTATTCTCCTGCTCCAGCCTCCCTAGTAGCTGGGACTAGGTACCCATCACAATGCCCAGATATTTTTTGTCGCAGTTCTCATTGTGATTTAGTTGGCTGGCGCCATAACCACTGTGCCACAGGTGCCAAGCTAGAACCCAAGAGATTGAGGTTGCTGTGAGCTAAGACCTCACAGCACTCTACCAAGGGTGACCAAGTGAGACTCTGTCTCAAAAAATTAAAAAAAAAAAAAAACAAAAAAACAGAAAATGGCCAAGTTACCAACACACAGTGTTTTATACTCAAATGTAGCAGATGTTCACAAATCCTATACTCAAGAAACTTAAGAATCACAGTGAATGGCTCAGCGCCCACAGCACAGTGGTTGTGGTGCCAGCCATATACATCAAAGCTGGTGGGTTCAAAAAAGGCCTGGGCCAGCTAAAACAACAATGGCAACTCGAACAAAAAATAGCGGGGTGTTGTGGTGGGCACCTGTAGTCCCAGCTACTTGGGAGGCTGAGACAAGAGAATAGCTTAAGCCCAAGAGTTTGAGATTGCTGTGAGCTGTGACGTCACAGCACTCTACCCAGGGCAACATACTGAGACCCTGTCTCAAAAAAAAAGGGGGGGGGGGACAGCACCTGTGGCTCAGTGGGTAGAGCACAGGGCACAGTGACTCATGCCTATAATCCTAGTACTCTGGGAACTGAGGCAGGTGGATTGCTTGAGCTCAGGAGTTCGAGACCAGCCTAAGAGTGAGACCCTCTCTCTAAAATTAGCTGGGCATTATGTTGGGCGCTTATAGTCCCAGCTACTTGAGAGGCTGAGGCAAGAGAATCACTTAAGCCAAGAGTCTGAGGCTGCTGTGAGCTGTGACACCACAGGACAAGAAAGTAAAATTCTGTCTCAAAAAACGAAAAAAAAAATTTTTTTTTCAAATACTTTGGATGTACCCAAGTATCATAGTCAACTTACCAATGAACCTATACAGTCTACTATAAACAAAAGAATGGGGGCTCCGAAAGGCTCTATAATAAAAAATAATGATAATAAAGTTAGGGAAGTCTGCCTATTGTGTTTCCCTAAGGGAAAACAATGAATATGTAAAATGACTTTCTAGTCAACTAAGTCCTAATAATTTCAAAATAGAAAACAATTTTAATGAGTGATACTTTTTTTTTTTTTGAGACAGAGTCTCAAGCTGTCGCCCTGGGTAGAGTGTCATGGCATCATAGCTCACAGCAACCTCAAACTCTTGGGCTTAAGCAATTCTCTTGCCTCAGCCTCCCAAGTAGCTGGGACTACAGGTGCCCACCACAACGCCCGACTATTTTTTTTGTTGCAGTTGTCACTGTTGTTTTTGCAGGCCCGAGCTGGGTTTGAACATGCCGGCCTCAGTGTATGTGGCCAGTGCCTTACCCACTGAGCTACAGGCACCTCTGAGTGATACTTTTAAAAGCAAAAATTTAAGATCCATTTCATTATTTTTATTATCCTGAACTGTTACCTTCTTACCCTTAAGTTTCAACGTTAGTCTGCACTCCAGGAAGAAACAGACACCTGGCCTTATATATTTATATGTATTCTTTTTCTTTTCTTTTTTTTTTTTTTGAGAGAGAGTTTCACTCTGTCACTCTGGGTAGAGCTGCCATGGTGTCATAGCTCACAGCAACCTCAAACTCCTGGGCTCAAGTGATCTACTTGCCTCAGCAAGTAGCTAGGACTACAGGTACCCGCCATAAGCCCAGCCTTTATATTTTTAAAACAATTTTCTAATTCAGTTCTAATTATCTCAGATTTGATGAGTCTAGCTCACAAAAGCCAATGTTTTAAAAATCAAAACAGGGAGCCAGGCAAGAGTTAAGTAAAGCCTATATAATTCCAGCTACTCAAAAAGTTGAGGCAAGGAGGATCACATCAGACCAGGAGATAAGATCATGCTACTCTACCACAAACTGGACAAGAGACTCTGTCTGAAAATAAACAAATAAATAGAAATCAAAACACTGTAATGATCACTTGCAGTTCTCACTAAAGGCTCTGTTTGCTGTCAAGATTGCTGTATTCACAGTTTAACTTCATGTGAAATTTAAAAGCTAGGCACAGTGCCCCACACCTACAATACCAGCCCTCTGAAGGAAGAAGCAAAGAGGATCTCATGAAACTAGCTGGGCAACATAGCAAGACCCCCACCTTTTTTTTTTTTTTTGAGACAGAGTCTCAGTATGTCGCCCTTGGTAGAGTGCCATGTATCACAGCTCACAGCAACCTCAAACTCTTGGGCTTAAGCGAGTCTCTTGCCTCAGCCTCCCAAGTAGCTGGGCCTACAGGCTATTTTCTTGTTGCAGATGTCATTGTTGTTTATCTGGTCCAGTCAACATTTGAACTCGCCAGCCTTGGTATATGTGGCTATGCTGTGGGAGCCAAGCCAAGACCCCATTTCTTAAAAAAAAAAAAAAAAGAAAGAAAGAAAACTTTAGCTGGGTGTAGTGCAGTGCACCGTTAGTCACAGCTACCTGGGAGGCTGAGGCAGGAGGGTCAGTTGAGCCCAGGAATTCTTGGCTACAGTGAGTTATGATCATCATATGGTCATTCCACTGCAACCCATCCTGAGCAACAGAGCAAGACCTGGTCTCTTAAAAATAAAGAAAGAAAGGAATTTGAAACTTAGAAAATCTAGTTTTAGTTTAGAAAACCATACCTTCTATATAAGATACATAGTATTCAGATATAGCCAAATGTTACTAATATCCTAAATCACTCATCCACAAAAGGCTTTCCCTTGGGATTACAGAGCTGAATTCAAAAGCCCAAGAAAAATCAATTCAATTAATGAGATTACCTACTACAGAAGACTTTCACCTAGGGGCAAAATCCTACCCACCCGGAGCTCAGGACAGGAATTTAGGTAGGAGTAGCTCTTCTATCTCTTCCCTTCTATCTGCACAGAGAGGCAACATAATATGATTAGTTAAGAGCACAGACTTTCACACCAGACTGGCAGGATTTTAAACCCACCTGTGCCTCTTTATGGCTGTGTGACTTTGAGTAAATTACTTAATTTATCCTGAGCTTCAATTTCTTTATCTGTAAATAGGATGTTAAAGTTACATGAATCAATTAGGTTAAACTCTTACTACTGTAACTAGCACATGGGAAGAACTTAGAAGTGCATAAAGGAAGGAATACTGCAGAGAAAGAGCAAGTTTATTAAAAGGTAGCTTCACCTTAAGATTCAGTAAATAAAAAAAGGTTTAGGCTCAGTGCCCATAGCTCAGTGGTTATGGCGCCAGCCACATGCACCCACCGGAGGCTGGTGGGTTCGAACCCAGCCGGGGCCAGCTCAACAACAATGACAACTGCAACTAAAAAACAGCTGGATGTTGTGGCAGTGTCTATAGTCCCAGCTACTTGAGAGGCTGAGGTAAGAGAATCACAAAGCCCAAGAGTTTGAGATTGCTGAGCTAGGACACCATGGCCCTCTACCGAGGGCAACAAAGTGAGACTGTCTCAAAAAAAAAAAAAAAGAATAAAATGTTTAAAGGTAAAGGAACATAATACCCATTATCAGAAAACTAAGAAACTAGCATTTATTTCAGCTCCTACTGTGTGCTAGGCATGGCACTAGGTACTTAATTATTATTATTTTTTAAGAGACAAGAGTCTCACTTTATTGCCCTCAGTAGAGTGTGGCGTCACAGCTCACAGCAACCTCCAGCTCTTGGGCTTAGGCGATTCTCTTGCCTCAGCCTCCCAAGTAGCTGGGACTACAGGAGACTGCCACAATGCTCGGCTATTTTTTTTGTTGCAGTTTGGGCGGGCCGGGTTTGGACCCGCCACCCTTGGTATATGTGGCTGGTACCCTACCCATGAGCCACATGCGCTGCCCTGGTACTTAATTTTAACAAGACTGCAAGGTGGTATCTCTGATTCCATTTATCAATTTGGAATTCAAGCTTCCAGCATAATTTATCGACTTATCCAAAAAGTAGCAGAGCCAGGAATGAAACTGGTGCCTAAATCTTTCCATTTATTCTACATTGTTGACAAGTGAAAAGAAAAACAAAAAGGACAAAAAAGTGCAATCACTAAGTGTGTGTTACAAGGAGGAGTAGAATTGTGAACAGTATTTCATGTATTTTTATGGAAAAGTTTACTAGTTAATTCACTCTTCCCCTTTCAAGTGTAAACAATCTGCATTCTAACTAAAAATTCCCTGTTAAGCATTCCCTTACAACGTAATTAAAAGACTAATTTAGGAATGAAACTTCTCTTTAGGTTTTTTGGGGTGAGGGGTGAAAGAGAACAGGATAGGTTATTTGTTTGTTGAGATACTCTGCGTCCTGAGTAGAGTGCCCTGGCATCATACCTCACAGCAACCCCAAACTCCTGGGGCTCAGGTGATCCTCTTGCCTCAGTCTCCCAAATCTGGGACTGCAGGCACCTGCCACAATGCCCAACTAGTATTTCTATTTTTAGAAGAAGCGGGGTCTTGCTCTTGCTCAGGGTGGTCTCAAACTCCTGTGCTCAAGGGTTCCACCCACCTCTTTGGCAAGACAAGTAATAACGACAGGGAGGGGGAAAATGTGTTTATAGTTATGTCACTGTCTATTTTAAAAACAGATGGCTACAATCTATATAGCTTTAGAGGTTAAAAAAAAAATCACTAGGCACTGGAAGTCAAGGTTTCCTTTTCCAATAAGGTGGTTTGAAACAAGAGAAACTACAAACACACATACAGGTTATGGCCAGAAAATATACAACTTCAACTATTAAGCAAAAACAAACAAAACCCTCACAGTAATTTTTTTAAGAGATGGGGTCCCGTCAGGTGTGGTGGTTCATGCCTGTAATCCCAGCACTCTGGAAGGCCGAGGAGGAGTGTCTATGTAATTATTGTGCACAATAATATAGTATAAATGGCAATCCACCTGCCCTAAGCTCACAGGTTCAAGACCAGCCTGAGCCAGAGCGAGACCCCCATCTCTAAAAATAACCAAAATAACCGGTGTTGTGGTATGGCACCTGTAGTCCCAGCTACTTGGAAGACTGAGGCAAGAGAATCGCTTCAGCCCAGAGGCTATGATACTATGTCACTCTACCAAGGGTGACAAAGTAAGACTCCTTCTCAAAAAAAAAGGGGGGGGGGGAGTGGTGGCTCACACCTGTAATGCTAGCACTCTAGGAAGCTGAGGTGGGTGAACTGCTTGAGCTCAGGAGTTTGAGACGAGCCTGAGCAAAAGCAAGGCCCCCCATCTTTACTAAAAATAGAAAAACTGAGGCAAGAGGATCGCTTGAGCCCAAGAGTTGGAGGTTGGCTTGGCGCCTGTGGCTCAAG